CATGGGGCCACTCAGGGTTGCAGTCAGGAGGGGAGCGAATCAGCAAGAGCTGTGGGCTGCCCTTTATAATAATAGGATGGGGGATCCCTGGGTGGCGCAGCGGTTTAGCGCCTGCCTTTGGCCCAGGGCGCGATCCTGGAGACCCGGGATCGAGTCCCACGTCGGGCTCCCGGTGCATGGAGCCTGCTTCTCCCTCTGCCTGTGTCTCTGCCCCTCTCTCTCTCTCTGTATGACTATCGTAAATAAATAAAAAAAAATAAACTCTATAATAACGGGATGGGGTGCCCCCTGGTTCCTACAGGGGGATGTTATTGGCTTCCAGGCTTGCAGGAAAGCTGAGCCCCCCACGGACTGAGGATGGGGTGCAGTGTGGCTGGTCTGACTGGTGAAGAACTTGCTGGGTAAGGAGCCTTTCTCAACAACGAGAGTGGTGGAGACACATCTGGAGAGAGCAGGGGACCCAGGAAGCCCCAGAAGGCTCAAAGATATCAGGGCGGCCCTTGAATGGTTAGGTCTCACAGCCCTGTGAGGAGCCCACCGGCATCTCTGGGTGGGTTAACTTAGAAGGGATCACAGGATCTGGTCCGCGTTAGGGAGAGGGGGAGTGTTTTGGACTGGCACTGACAGGACATAAGGTAATTCTGTGATTAGGTCTCTCAATCCATCTTATCTAGAAGGAAAGAGGAACGAAACAGAACTAACGCCCTAGCTGGTCAAGAAGCAACAGTCACTCATATCAGCCAGGATAGGGGGCTGTTGGGTCATGTTTGTGGTCTGGACAATGTTCCTGTTTTTGAGCTCGAACATGACTACAGCTGGTCCTGTTTTGTGTTGGCCTATCACTGAGGCAGAGCCGCGCTATCAGATGCTGGTGTGCTATGAAGTTGTTTATGTTCACAGGAGCACACTGAGGCCCTCCCAGCAGCCCCAGGACTCACGGTGCCAGGCCACTTCCTGATTCAGGGGCTCTTCTTCTCTCCCTTCCGTACCCTGCGGAACCAGAGGCCTGCACAGTTGGTCCTCAGAACCTGGGTCTGCGGCATGGAGAGCTCTGACATGGCCAACTGTGCTGCTCAGGGGTTTGCTTAGAGAAAGACATTGCAGCTGGGCTCTGGTTACACACCCTCCCACTGCCCTGCAGCGTCTCACAGAACGGTTGCTACACCGAAGTCACACAGAATCTGTCAGCCACCTGCTGCACAGGTCGTTATCAGAAACAAACCTGGCTACTGGCTCTGGTACCAGATCCTGAAGACGAGGACCTCGATGGCCAAACCCAGGCTGTGAAAACCTGCCCTAGGGTCCAACTGGCTTTCCCTGGAGGACCAGGTGGCTTTTTCTTTTTAAAGCCTAGCCAGCCACAAACTATTCTACTTGACCCATCATATTTATGTGGTGTTTACATAGGTGCAGCAAGAATGTCCATCTGAGCATAAATTCCCCCTGGGCTCACCAACAAGACATTCAGGGCTTCATGATCCACTAATGAATGGACATTCACCTGGTTGGTGGGAATGGCAGTTGAGCCACTTATGACATCTGCTAGGGTCAGGGACAAGTTTGGGATGAGAATGTTCATCCACCCATGTTACCCCTGCGTAGGTACTACAGCTGGCATCTTGTTCTTGAAGAGAGTGGTCATCTCTCTGGGCACTCCCCCAGGTAGCCTGTGCTTGCATCTTTTTCAAGGTTTCTGGGTATTCTTTCTCAGGGAAACGTGATCCACTGGAGCGGTGGTCATTTTAAACATCTGAAAGTCTCAAACAACCATGCTGAGTACCCCGGGTAAGTGAGCATATGGCAGGTGGCTTAAGCCTGATGGTCACATAGCAAGTAGCATCCATAGCTATAATAAAGAAAGATGAACAGTCACAAGTGTTTATGACAATGGAGAGAAATGGGAAGCCCCACAGCTAGGGGTAGGAATGTAAAAGACTGTAGCCACTGTGGAAAAGTGTGACAGTTCCTCAGAGTGTTAACACGGAGTCACCGTCTGACCTGGCAGTTCCACCTCTAGCCATAAACACCAAATAATTGAAAACCTGTACACAACTGCTCATAGCAGCATTGTCCACAATAGTAAGAAGGTAGGATTGGCCCAAATATCCATCTGTGGCTGGACGGATTAAAAACTGATCTATCAAAAAAAAAAAAACTGATCTATCTCAAAAAAAAAAAAAAAACTGATCTCTACAATGGAATGACTCAGCCATGAAACGGGAATGAAGTAGTGACACCTGCTACAGTGTGGGTGAGCCTTGAAAATATGATGCTCAGTGAAAGGAAGCGGTTACAAAAGGTCACATATTATAGAATTTCATTTATATGAAATGTCCAAAATAGGCAAACCTATAGAGGCAAAAAGTAGGTTAGTGAATGCCAGGCACTGGGGGGCAAGAGGATGGGAACGGGGAGTGAGTGCTCCTGCAGATGGCATTTCTTGTTAGGGTGATGTGCTAAATAAAGCTGATTGCAGTGATGGGTGCACAGCTCTGTGATGCTACAAGTTACTGGATTGTAGACTTTAAATGAGTGAATTGTGTGGAATGGGAATTATATCTCAATAAAGCTGTTATCAAAAAAGAAAGAAAAAGGAATATCCAAGTGGGACGCAGACTGAACTGCACGTATAAGTATCATTTATCACAACAGGAGTGGGTCTTTGTATGTTTTGTTCTTGTTTTATTTCTGTGGGGTTTGTATTGTTTTTTCTTGTCACTTGAGGTGGTAAAACTTCTTTAATGTAATTAAGCAATTCTTTCAAAGCAGGTTGGCGTGTGTGAAGAGTAGTGGCTGTTGTAGCATGGAGGGTCCCAACATGAGTGCCCACTGTTCCTGAAGAACTAGTGTTTGTGGATAGAGCAGTGATGGCCTCAGCAGAAGCATCTGCTAACGTGAGGTCAAAAACATGTAATTAATAAGCAACATCCCAGGGGCACCTGCGTGGCTCAGTCGGTTATTTTTTTTAAAAGATTTTATTTATTCATGAGAGACACACAGAAAGAGAGACAGAGACACAGGCAAAGGGAGAAGCAGGCTCCCTGCGAGGAGCCTGATCCAGGACTTGATGCCAGGACCACACCCTGAGCCAAAGGCACGCTTAACCGCTGAGCCACTCAGGCGTCATCCAATGGCTCAGTTGGTTAAGCATCTACTTCCAGCTCAGGTCATAATCTCAGGGTCCTGGGATGGAGAATGGAGCCCCACATCATTGGGCTCCTTGCTCAGCAGGGAGTCTGCTTCTCCTTGTGCCCCTCCCCCTGCTCTTGCTGGCCATCTCTCTCAAACAAATAAAATCTTTTTTAAAAATAGGGAGGATCCCTGGGTGGCTCAGCAGTTCAGCGCCTGCCTTTGGCCCAGGGTGTGATACTGGAGTCCTGGGATCAAGTCCCACGTCGGACTCCCAGCATGGAGCCTGCTTCTCCCTCTGCCTGTCTCTCTGTCTCTCTGTCTCTCTCACTCATGAATAAATAAAATCTTAAAAAATAAATAAATAAAAATAGGAAAATAAGTAAAAATAGGGCAGCTCGGGTGGCTCAGTGGTTTAGCGCCGCCCTCAGCCCAGGGCGTGACCCTGGAGACCAGGGATCGAGTCCCGCGTCCGGCTCCCTGCATAGAGCCTGCTGCTCCCTCTGCCTGTGTCTCTGCCTCTCTGTCTCTCATGAATTAATAAAATCTTAAAAATAAATAAAAAATTAAAATAAATAAACAACACCCCTGAAAATACACACGTTAAATTCATAACAAGTCTCCCGGGCCATGACCATTGGCAAGAGTGGGATATCAGGTCAGTTCTGGAGAAAGGAATTTTTTTGAGTCATACTGGCCTGGCACTTTGCATGTGTTATTTCTGTGTAGGCACACGCACATATGCATACTTCCCCTCCCTGCGGGAACCTCAAATGGAAAGTTTCATTTCCAATTTAGCAGGCAGGGAAGCTAAGACTCAGAGAGGTTAAGTCATTTGCACAAGGTCACACAGCTGTTCTGGAAGAGTCACGCACCATCTCCATAAACCCAGAGAGGACAGGTGCTCCACCTTCTGTGGGGAAGCTGGGGGAGATTGCTCTTTAGCCAACGACACCCCTGAGCGGGGCTCTTGCTGTGGACTGCATAGAGGCAGTGTGTATCATGTCTAGAAGGGTGGGGTGGGCCAGGAGTGGGGGCTCCAGGGGGTTAAGCCAAGGACCTTCCCTGCAGACTTCCCTAGGAGACCAGGACGAGGAGGCTGCCATTGTCTTGTCCAAGAATTGACACAAGTGGGGCCTGACCACAGAGGGGCCCAAATCATTTCCCGGTCCTGCAGCAGCTGGCTCACAGCTGCGTCCTGGGCACTGGGGCGTTCACGAGCCCCGGCTCTAGCAGGAAGGAGAGCAAGGTTTGGCAAGGGCGTCCTCACTGGGGCCCCTGGGTGGGCAGGGCCATGCAGGGTTCAGACCTGTGGGAAGCCAGCTGCCTCTTGCCCTATTTACCCCCGCTCTCCACCCCCACCTCCAACCCCACCAGAAACCCTAACACCTGTGGCACATTAGGTGTGGGTCTGGAGACCAGATTAGCTCTTCAGTCTCTTTTCTCTACATTCTCTTTTCTCAAAAGCAAGGCTCTCCTAACTCCAAGAACTCTCTCCTGTCCTGACCCTAGAGGCTTCAGAGAAGCGAGCTGCTTCCCCATTACCTTTGCTGCATGCCTCTTGGAAGGGGTCATCGCTCTGACATAACTGAAGGACCCTTTGTTCAAACACTCAGCAAGTTTTAATTGAGCACCCACCCTGCCCCATGCCAGGCTCCACGCCCACTTGCCCATGTTCTTTGGTGTCCTAGCAACCAGAACCTCTCATCCAAGCTCCGGCCAGGACAGAGGTCATTTTCTCCCTGACTGCCATGACCTGCAGCCTCCCTAGGCCTCTAAGGACCTGTCCGCACAGGTTGTGGGTTCTGTGAAGGCCACCGCTTGTCCCCAAGGACTCCCAGAACGCCAGCCCAGCCGGCCCTCCTTGCAGGATGAGCTTCTCGCTCACGTTCTCCGAGCTGGTCAACATCGCCATCCCGCAGTGCGGGGTTGTGAACTTCAAGGCGCTGCACCTCCTGCTCCAGGGCATCTTGGAGCACATCCACATGGCTGAGCTCAAGAAAGTCCTCTCAGGAGATGAAGACTTTCTCCAAACCTCGCCTACTGTGTTCATGCCCCGGGAAGCAGACGCCCAGCCCATCCTCAACCCCATGAAGAGGCTCAGCAATGTCTTTGACCATGTCGTGAGCCGCATAGACAAGATGGAGAGCCAGCTGGCCACGCTGCAGGACCTCCCTACCACTTCCCAGCTGCTGGAGGGCAGCCAGGGCACAGGCCAGCCCGCTCAGGATCTATGGCACCTGATAAAGCTCCGGAAGATGGTAGAGGGCAATGAAGAAGCCACAGCAAAGGTAAACCACCTGGCTTCCAGAAGCTTCCTGCCCTCTATGCTGTCTTCCCAGGCATCTTAGCCCCCATTCCCTTATGCCCCTTGTGATGGGCTTCCCCACCCCCCAAACAGGGGCAGGAATGGGGCTTTGAAGTCAGGCATAACCAAAGCTCCAAGCTTGCATTCTTTGTCAAGTGTTGAGGAAAGAAGCCAGACACAAAAGGCCACATGTGGTATGGTTCCATTGGTATGAAACAGACAACTCCATGGAGACATGAAGCAGACTAGTGGTTGCCAGGGCCCAGGGAAGGAGGGGCAGAGGGAAAGTTAACCTAGTGGTTTTTTTTTTTTAAGATTTTATTTATTCATGAGAGAGAGAGAGAGAGAGAGAGAGAGAGAGAGAGGCAGAGACACGGGCAGAGGGAGAAGCAGGCTCCATGCAGGGTGCCTGACGTGGGACTTGATCCCGGGTTTCCAGGATCACGCCCTGGGCTGAAGGCGGCACTAAACTGCTGAGCCACCCGGGCTGCCCAACCTAGTGGTTTTGAGGTCTGCTTTTCTGGTGATGAAAAGAAGTTGGAAACACAGACCAAAGTTCACCATTCCCTCATTCCTTTATCTCCTCACTGTCCCCTTCACCCTTGCAACTCTGGTGGGCTCCCTCCCCAGGAAAACAACCACTAGAAGGAGTGCTCATTATGCTCCAGGTGAGCTGGAGGCTTAGCCTCTTTGATCTTCACAGCACCTCTGTGAGACAGGTGAGCAATTGAAGCACTGAAATGTTAACCCACTTGGGGTAATACAGTGGCAGAAAACGGAGAGCTGGTGCAAACCTGCGCCAAGAAGATCGGAGGAGAGGCATAGGAATGTGGTGTGCTGAGTGTGGTCCACTTACCAACTGGAACCGGTAGGGGGATGATCATGGTTTCCTCCTCCCAGGATTGCCTCGAGATTGATACTAAACAAGATAATGTGTGGGAAGTGCTCAGCACAGAGCTCAGGTATTCTGGTCGTCCAGTCCGTGGTCACCGTTAATATTATCCAGAGACTTGAACCTTGGAAGACCAGGACCTCAGCAAAGTCGGGCCCCTGGAGCCCTGAGGGACAGGGAGAGGGATCAGTCTGGCCAAGGTGGGCTGAGAGGGAAGGTGGCATGGCCCAGTGCTAAATCAAGCACTAAGTGAAGCAGCCAGACACAAAGGACCACGTACTGCAAGCTTCTATTTCTTTTCTTTTTTTTTTTAAGATTTTATTTATTTATTCATGAGAGACACACACAGAGAGAGAGAGGGGCAGAGATGCAGGCAGAGAGAGAAGCAGGCTCCATGCAGGGAGCCCAACATGGGACTCGATCCTAGGTCTCCAGGATCACACCCTAGGCCAAAGGCGTTGCTAAACCACTGAGCCACCCAGGATGCCTATGCTTCAGTTTCTATGAAACATCCAGAACAGGCAAATTGGTGGAGATAGAAAGTGGATTAGTGGTTGCCAGGGGCTAGGAGGTGGCGGCAATGGGAGTGCTTGCTGACGGGTACAGCATTTCTCTTTGGGGTGATGAAAGTGTTTGGAAACTGGATAGTGATAACAGCTGCCAACCGTGTGAATGTACTGAATGCCACTGAATTCTTCGTGTTACCATGCACACGTATGCACGCACAGGCACACACGCGCACAAAGCAGAATTGGCAGAATCGAGTAAAAGAAAAAAAGGTACCATCTCACTATACCCTCTACAAGAGACACATTTTAGGGACGCCTGTGTGGTTCAGTGGTTGAGCATCTTCCTTTGGTTCAGGTCGTGATCCCGGAGTCCTGGGATCGAGTCCAGCATCAGGTTCCCCACAGGGACCCTGCTTCTCCCTCTGCCTGTGTCTCTGCCTCTCTGTGTGTGTCTCATCAATAAATAACATCTTAAAAAAAAAGACACAACACACACATTCTAGATTCAAAAACAAATAGGTTGAAAGTAAAAGGATGACAAAAGATATTCCATATAGGCAGTAATCAGAAGAGAGCTGGAGAGGCCACAGTGCACGTGTCAGACAAGACCAGACTTTGAGATTTGTTGCTAGAGACAGAGAAGGCTGCATGTGTGGCCCAGTTGAGGTTACGGAGGCCTTGGAGGCTGGAAACGTGGGCACAGTGTCAGAGCAGCCTGCCCCCAGCCTGCCTTGATGGATGAAGTCTTCCAGAGTGCACAGTACTGAGTGACCCAGCTGGCTTGTGAAGGGGGGCTGGCAGACAGGCTCGGACATGGCTGTGAAGCCCTCAGAGGCCTGTTTGTGCACCTAGGATTAGAGAATGTACCCCCCCAAACCCTGGCTGAGGTTGCTGGGGGTTACCACAATGACCAGCTCCCTCCCACTACCCCCCCCAGGGGGTTGCCATGGTAGCTAGCTCTGGGATTGGTACAAGCTGCTTAGCTAAGTGTCTGCACCAACTAGCCAGTCAGGCTGGCCAGACCAAATGTCATGTCACCTCGCCTGCCCTTCCTCTGGGGCTGGTTGGGTTAGAGTCCTCTGCCATCCTTTACAAGCCCCTGTCAAGGTGTGAAGGCTCAAAGTGGGGAAAGACTAGCCTGCCAACCCTAGCACTCACCCCTGACAGGGTAAATAGTGCCCAGAAAACTAGAGCTGGCAACAAGAGGGCTCTTGAGAGAAGGTTTGAGACGCTCCACAGGCATGGTTAGCACACCACCAGATCTGGGGCTGAGATTGCAGCGTCCCTCACCCTCACGGATAATTCTCTGTGGTGAGGACTGTGTTGTGCCCTGTGGGATATTGGGCAGCATCCGGGCCTCTACTCTCCAGGTGCCAGGATCCACCCGTAGCGGTGACAACCAAAAGTGTCTGCAGACTTTGCCATATGCCCGCCGGGAGCTAAGTCGCCCCCGTTGAGCGAGGAAAACTAGGTGCCCCTTGAGCGCAGTGTGTACTTGTCCCTGCAGACTCCGGGGCGGCTGCCACCCAGGGCTCCCGAGCCAGCTGGAGCACGAGCTCCACCTGGAGAGCTCTCCCAGAATGGCAGGCTCCCATGCCCTGGCCTCACCTCCTAGGCCCGGCCTAGGACTCCCAGGCCCCGCCTTCCCCACCCGGGCCCCACCCTCATCTGTGGCCCCGCCCACAGCTCCGAGGCCCCGCCCTCATCCCCAGGCCCGTCCCTCATCTCCCAGGCCTCGCCCACAGATCCGAAGCCCCACCCTCCTCCCGAGTCCGCCACGCGCCAGCCACCCTACCCAGGCCCCGCCCTCCGATCCCGCCACAGCTCCAGCCCGCCCTCATCCCAGGCCCCGCCCTCCTCACCTGGGCCCTTCCCTCATCCCCGGCCCCGCCCCCTCCCGAGTCCCGCCCACGGCTACTAGGCCCCGCCCTCCCCACCTGGGCCCTTCCCTCATCTCCCAGGCCCCGCCCTCCTCCCCACGCCCGTCCCTCACCTCCCAGGCCCCGCTCTCCTCACCCGGGCCCCTCCTTCATTTCCCACGCCCCACCCTCCCAGGCCCGGCCCATGACTCCCAGGCCCCGCCTCCTCCCGGGTCCCGCCCACAGCTCCCAGGCCCCGCCCTCATCCCAGGCCCCGCCCTCCCCACCTGGGCCCTTCCCTCATCTCCCAGGCCCCGCCCTCCTCCCCACGCCCGTCCCTCACCTCCCAGGCCCCGCTCTCCTCACCCGGGCCCCTCCTTCATTTCCCACGCCCCACCCTCCCAGGCCCGGCCCATGACTCCCAGGCCCCACCCCCTCCCGGGTCCCGCCCACAGCTCCCAGGCCCCGCCCTCATCCCCCAGGCCCCGCCACCGTAGCGAGTTTTAGGAAGTGGCCATCTGGAATAAGCTAACGCGCCACAGTGGTCAGGAGCCCAGCCAGATTCTAGAAAGCTGCTCCTGGAAGTCCGTGTCTGTCTCCTCGAGACGTCGGTTATCTCCGATGTGATGAGTCCTGGCCGCTGGCCTCACAGGAGAAAACCAGAGACTGCATCTGCTGTTTGTTTACATTGTTCTGGGGGCACCTGCCTGGTTCGGTCAGTAGAGCGTGCGACTCTTGATCTGTGGGTCATGCGTTCAAGCCCCACGTTGGGCAAGGAGCCTACTTAAAAAAAAAAAAAAGTTCTGGCTGACCCTGTTTCCATAAATAAAGCCTCAGCCTCCTGAGGGGGTTGTAACAACCTGTTGTTTTTTCTGACTTCAAAACTCCCTTTCCATTTTACTCTCCAACCAAAAAAACTCCTGCTGTAGATCCTGAAATTTTTTTTGATCCTGCAAATTAAAATGATTTTAAATTTAAATTAATTTTTGAGAACTTCATAACAAAGCTGAAATGCATGAAAGACACTTTAGGGTTTTAGAGACTGGAGTCAAGGTTGCTCCAATAATGGTAATGAACTTTCTGCGTTGCAGCATGTCTTCACCATGCTGGCGAGTGCCAAGTGCAGTTGCCTTCCTGTTCCCTGGGAGGAAATGGTGTTAGCATTCCCATTTCCCAAAGCTCTGGGGCTCCTGCCATGTAGACCACTCTCCCCAGGCACCTGAGGGGGAAGGTGCCTTGGACCTCCTTATCCACCCCCTACAAACTTCTGTAAGTGCTGGGTCCCCATCCCGAGCCTATATCCCTGAAGCTCCTTCAGAGAGACAGACAGGGCAAGCCCCCACTGCTGGTGCCTGCACAGGATCCAGACATCTTGGGATTCATTTCTGGGATGGCAGATTCCAGGACTCTCTTCCTCTGAACTTGGCTCCATCCAAGCCCTGCTTGCAGGCTGGGGGCCCATGTGGGTATTACCCACTTAGTCTCCCACCAGCGTGGTCCAGACCTTGACCCTTCTTCCTCCCTAGGCCTGGAGCTCAGGGCATGTCCCCAAGCTTATGCTTGGCAGGCTGGGTCTGGGAAGGGAAACCATTAACTGTGCATCTGAGGAGAGTGTTCCCCAGTGAGAAAATGGTCTCTCTGTTCTGTGTGCATACATTACCCAAGGAGCAGTCTGCCTGTAAGGTTTCCTCTCTTTTTTTGAGTTTTCCCTGGACTACCTGTG